GTTTGGGGTCTGGCCCATGTGCCCTGCGTATGTGCCTGGCTCTGGAGCTCGTCCCGCATGGAGGACCAAGGTGAACAACTGCAACATGTTTGTGCTGTAGGACTGTAGGATCTTCCAAAGGAGCTCAACACCAGTTGGCGTAGTGAGGTCAAGCCGCACGACTGGCGCCCGGACTTGCTTTGTCACGTGTGCATCCACGCCCAAGCTGTTGGTGAGTCCAACTCGACGCAGCGCTGCAGTGAGGCCAGCTGTTCCTGAATAAACATCCGCAGCATACAATTCAGTGATGGATTTACCTGCAACTCTTTGAGATATATCTTTTCATGAAAAAGGTCACTGTTATCAAATTTCTTTTTTGGCACTTCGGCCCAAAGTGGACCCCACTGAGGGGTCTGCTGTGAATTGTCAGGCACCTGTGATGGCAAAATTTGGCCCTATTCAAGGGGCCTGGTTGGCACTGCATTGATGTACTGGATGGGGGCTGAAGCATCGCATGCACGTGCAGCCGCGGCTGAGGTTGAAATTGTAACAGAGTCGCTTGCCTGACTTGGTGGTTTGATACAAACCGACCAGCTCAACGGGCATCTTGCCACGATTCTTAAGTCTTGGTTCTCCCTTTGCCCTTCTGACCTATTTTGAACAACATAGGCAGTAGTAGTCAAAAAAGTTGCACCATCATAAAGAAGCAGGAATTGAAGTTTTGACTGAGGGTTGATAGAAACTTCTCCATGATCGATGAAAGTAAGTTCACCAAATACCTCACTTCTGATTCCAGATATTTTAGCTCTTGAGGGTGCAATCTTGCACTTGGAACATGTGTCACAGGATTTTGTGATCTGATCGATCGAACTTGTCATAAATTTCCTTGGGCGACTTCAGAGCTGATGTTCTTCTCTTGAATTGCTCAGTTGACATGTGATAATGCTTCAAGTGCAATTTCAGGAGTTCAGTAGGTCATTGAAGCTTATCATGTATTCTCTGAAGTGCAAGTGGCAAAGTTCCTTTTCGGTGACGCTTCTTGCTTTTCTTCAAGTTTTACTTCAACCTTTGGTTCCGGTCTGATTTCCGTTTCTTGATCCAATTGAGGGTCCCGACGTCTTGGGATCTCCGTCCTTGGAACCGGAACTTGGTCCAGAGGCCACCATCGGCCCATCATCAGGATGCAAAGGTTGACTTGGTACTTCTAATTTGGTATCAGGTGAAATTCTTGACATTCTGCTTGGGAACTGCTTTGGCCGTCTTCGGCTCGTGTGCTGGTTCATGTGCTGACTTTGTGTATTTCTTGCAACCTTCTTTGTGTGTGTGTGAACGATGTTTACCGTTACATGCAGGACATGTAATTTCTTCTGACTGAAAGCTGTACATCGGTTTCCAACTTGAAGTCGCAAGAGCCATAATGTCAAGAACTGGATGATTGGATGTACTGACCGCTAGTGAGTTGCATTCCAAAGACTGGACAAGTGAGAAACTCTCCTACAGGAGTATGTTCAATATTCATTCGACGGTTCCGCATTTGTTTGACTGAAAAGAGGATAGGAACCTTACCTTTGTCGAGAATGTCAACGCAAGTAGAAATCCAACCAGTGTGTGCATGATCATTGCGGACATGAGTGGCAAGTCTCTCCTTGACAGTGGATTGCTCTCCATTTGCAAATGAAAATTTACTTGAACATGGTTGTTTTGAAAACCAGATGTAATCTCGCTTTGGATGTATGTTGACATGCTTGGACAAGGCGATCTATCGCAAAGCGGGATCCCATAGCTCTGGTGCAACCTGAGTCAAGAATCACATAGGTCAGATGAAAACTTAAATCCACGTACTCACAAAAAGGAGGGCTTGCTGGGCACCATGATCGTCGCAGTTCAGGTATACACACTCTTCCGTACTATCGGATTGGAGTGGGCACGTGTGCTGTTCATACGGATGCATGTCACCGGTGTCGGTTGCGATGCTCTCTTCAACAAATCGGATGCTCAGAAGAAATGAGTTCCTGTTCAAACCTGAAAAGCACTGGTACAGCAGGGACACGAACAAAAACATGAGCGACATGATTGACATGAGTTCGCGTCCGAGATATCGGAACAAGCAAACGGCGGAAAAACAGAACCGGTTGTTTTGGTCCGTCTGTCCGTCCTCAGGAGTATGATCAAAATCTTCTGAATGCTTGTCCTCTGCTAAGGTCAGTTCCTCAATGGAAGCATAGTAAGATCAATTGTACCAATCACTTTGTGAGTAGTCACCATCATATCCATTGTAGGAATCATATGTTGACCAGTCATTTGTCCAATAGGTGTCATAGTCGTAACTCCAGCTTTCTTCGGCCTGGGCAACTTCTGCTTTTTCGGGGGCTTGTGAGGCGCTAGAAGATGCTTGTTGAGCTACATTTGCTTGAGGAGGTTGCTGTTGCTGATATGGTTTTCCTCCTTTGTTCTTGCCATCACCTTTGCCTTTTCCCTTCCATGAAGGCATTCCTTTGAAAGAATCCTTTCCTGTCATTCCTTTCTTGCCCTTCTTGCCTTTTCCTTTTCCCCAGAAAGCTGTGTTTTGCTGGTCATTGTCCCATGCTGCATGACCTTTTGACCTCGGACGGAAGCCGGGTCTTGATCTTTTTCCTTTCTTACCATAGCCCTTCGGTTTTCCTTTCTTGAATGATCGGCCGTACAATCGGCGCTTAGAGTATGATCCCTTATAGCGCCTCGAACCCAGAATTCGGTCTCTGTATACAGACCTGTGAATCCTTCTTCTCCGGTCTCTTCGTCAATGACCCAGAATCCGTGTTCACCTTCTTCGGTCTCGCCTTTGTCGATGTTGTAGAAGGTCGACCGTTTTCGGTGTGCGATATTTGGGTCGGCAACACCTGTTCGCGAAACGCAGAAAAGCTCTAAGAAAAGCTGTTTCACTTGGAGATAGGTATATTGAGGCATTCCTATTTGACGAATATTCATTGATGAAACAAAGCGCTCTCGCTGTTGTTCGTTGAGGTCTGATTGTACCAAGAAAATCAAGGACAATCCGGCAACGGAAATTCAGTCTGATGTTGGGCCTTTCTATTTGTAATAGTCTGTTCTCGAAGGGTCGTTTGGTATTCAATTTTTCTTTATCTGTATTCAGTTGCTGATAGTGTATGCGTTGCTCTTCAGTGAATGCTGCTACGAATGCCTGCGAGCCTACTTCCGGTAGATCGGATAGATCAAGCAGATCAGACCATGATGCCAAGAGGCGCTTCTGAGCGATTTCGAAACGCCGAATCCATTCTGGCCTCGATATGTGCGAAACATCTGGAGGAATCGCCAAAGGAACACATGATTTACTCCCTTCGCGAAGTACGGTCTTAATGTGTCCTTGAAATGAGCGAGGCCACGATCCGGATCTCGGAGTAGGGCATTGTCGAGCATCGACTTGTAAAAAGAAGCTGAACCTACAAGGGGATTTTTCAAAGATGGTCCGTGCTCGTCTGCATCCAATGTTGTGATACCGAGCCAGTCATCAGTTAAGTCAAGTCTTCATATTCAAACCAGCTAGATTGGCCATCAAATTGTGGAGGTACCTTAGGTGTCATTTTGATTCCTTGCCGGTTTTCGGCGTGACTGGCAGCGAAGGCTCCACGCTCTTCATATGAAACAATTTGGAGTTGTTCTTCGTCTGAATCCATGTTATGGATTAAGACCATGGCAGCGATTCGGAGTTGACCTACAAGTTGCCTTCGCAAGTCCGGTTATCGGAGCCGATGCTAGGAGCAACTGCAGTGTAGATGTCGGATTTTAGCGAGGCACAAACTCTGCTACCACTTTGAGGTAGGAATCCCCTGTATTGAGGGACCCCTGGATGTACGAAAAGTCGTTTGAACACTTGTGGTCAACGCGGCGGCAAGCTACACCTTTTTGCTGCGGTATGCAAGCAAGTCTTGAGCTACAGAGTGGGGCAGTGGTGCAAAGGTCATGCATTGTGTAGACACGTCCCCAAATATAAAGATTACACCCCCCTAGTTCAAAGAAGAACCCCCCCTTTTAAACCCTCCCTCCCCCACTTCTTTTAGTTCGGGGGGGAGGCCACGGCCCCGCTTCACTAAATGACACCCTTCCCCTCAAAAAAACCCAGCCCCTTCAAAGAAGGCCCCCCTTCTCCCTTCAAAGAAGGCCCCCCCCTTCAACAAGTAGGGGACTCCTACCCTATCGGGCCGGTCTCGAGATGTCCTTGTAGCAAAACTTGTACAGTCTCGCCGTGGTCCTGGGGGGGCGTAAAAACCCGCGCAGTAAAACCCCATGTAGCATGTCACCATATGACTCGTGCGTAGTGTTGGCTCAAAAGTTGGAGTCAGAGCGGTTTGTTATTGTTTACCTTGCCCTCTTGTAATATATGGTGGCTGGCCTGGAAAACTACAAAATTAAACTTGTATTTTGGTTGCGGAAAACAAAGCATGGTTTCCCATTCAGCCCGAACATTTTTTTGGACATGGTTCGTTTGTATCTGTGGCCACGAAGGTTCATGAACCACAGATGTCACAGATGTAGCACCGATGTTTTCAAGGTTGGAAAATGGAATCGCTTACCATTTTTGGTTTTGTAAACAAACCGGGGCATTCAGCATGATTGTTTGGTAGTGCTTTTGGACATCGTTTGTTTCTGTGTCGAACCATGGCCCGAGTCTGTACTCATGTCATATGTTTGAAAAACGGTGACAAAATTCGGATGCAAAACGGGAACCAGTGGTGCAATTGGCGACATGACATTCATGATCGTTACCTGGGTTTTTGTTGATTTCCATTCGTAAGACAAACTATATAACAATTTTTCCGGGGTGATGCCAATACAATATTTGTACCACGTGTGGGTATGTGTACTCAAAGCCATTGAAACGCAAAAGTGTTCTGCATGGGAACATATTTTGACTTTCGACATGTTTGCCTTGCCCTTGATTTTGTTCAATCATTTTGGCACTGCAGTCAATTCTGGATGTTTTCGGTTTTAGCAAACAGAGACTCCATGAACATCAATGAACAATGTTGAGCATCAGTGGTTCCGAGTCAGAAAATGAGGCGCATATTGCGTTTTTTCCCCAGTTGTGTGCCTGGTGGAAGTGGAACACATGACATTGCCTAGCTGCCCAGCTGTTTCTTTGTGAGGCCGATCGCATCAGATTCTGCGGTGCTTTGTTCCGAGAAACATGGAAGGCTGGTATCTTGTTTACATGTTTTGTTTAGGTATGAATTTGTGTCATGTTCTTTGTGGAATGGAACGCCAAACAACAACATTGCGAAATTGTAAAGGGACCCGTCGCCAATCAAAATTCGACTGGTGATTTGACATCTATGAATGTGATTTTTGCAGACATGTGATGATCCGATCCCTTGAACCCTCATATGTTTTTTAAAAACAATGTCGCAAAGTGGCAAATTTGTCCAAAATGAACACTCGGCAATTCTGTTGCATCCTGTTTTGTATCCTTCGAGGCGCTGCCATTTTGACAGCGAAACATGTCGAAGAACATGGCTATGATCACAAATGAATTGAATTGTCCTTAATGAAATTGAAAGATAGTATTTGGGTTTTGCAGTTGCCTATAGCTTATAACCAAAAAATCTGAAGTGGTGCTGGATTGAAATTGCTCTGTGGATGATTCGCCGGATTTTTTGCAACGCATATTGTGCAAAAATTGCTAATTACATCATTGGATGGGTTTCTTGGGCCTTTGTTCATGCAAGTGAAAAATGAACGTTGATGATTGATGGTGATTAGATGTACCTGTGGCACAAACAGGAAATTGCATGACTTCAATCCGCCCTTTTTTTCGCAACAACGCCAGAAATGATGAAGATGCAAACAATTTGTCTACCAAAACATGACGGTTGTACGCGCCGAGATGAAAGACTGTTTCAAATTTGAATCAATTTTGTGATCAATGAGTGAAACTCCCCAAACCCTGTGGCATCAGTTTTCTAGCCCTTGCCTGAGTCACTCACTGCGATGTGGAGCATCCAGTTGGTTTGGTCTGAAATTGAAGTGCGTACAATCTGCAGACATGAACCATCAGTTCTAAAATTGCAATAAAAGTGTCGCGGACGGACCCCTGTAATCTTTTGCAATTTGTTTGTTGACAAAATGCGTGGAATGTAATGAATCTAATGCTGCCCACAACAAAATGGTTTCCCTGCAATCGTCCCCCCGCAATTGCTTTGGGTGCCGTGACGAAAATTTTAGCATTTCCGAACAAGAACTACCGCCGGAATTTCTTGCGTAACTGGTAACCTTCAACTCGAAATCTGAATGCTAAACACTGATGGATCTTTGGCAACCAAAAACCACCGCTTCCATTGGATTCAAAAGACCTGGCCAGCCTTGACTTGACCCCGGTGCACTTCAAAGAACTGCGACGGCGCACCGGCAGAACGAATTTGGAATCCACAACGCAATCGTTGGGATCGAGGTTGGATGCATTCCTTTGCGAAACAACCACCAAAGAGCTGCAAACGACCGCTATGACATGTGAACAGAAAATTGTTTTGGATTGGTATGCTCAAAGTGAAATCGTTGTGGTTTGCGACACATGTGTACAGGGCTACCTTCTGACGTGTTGCCACTGGTTCCCGGAGGTGAGGTTCTCACGTTTCTGTTGGAAATAATTTTGTGAATTCCAAACTTGGCCGTACTACTGTGGATGGAAGAAATCCTGCACCAGTTGATAGGTGGTTTATCCCACTATTTATTGGGTTTCAACCATCCAAGGTGGTGCAGGATTTCTTCCATCCACAGAAAGAGACCTTCGCATCTGGGTGTTGGGTTCCCAACTATTTTAGATTGATGACAGTGTTGTTGCAATACCCATGGCGGTTGCTGTATCGTATGCATACGGCGGCATAGAAAAATTGAGATAACTTTGAATCGCGCTGAGCAGTTTGTGTTGCACATTCCCGTCCACGAGGCAGCATCAAATCGGAGATAAACTCAAACTCTTAAACCGTACCTTGTGCGATTGTATTTGGTACGTTGGTGACGTTGGTTTGTTCAGGAAGGGCGCAAGACCCAATCCGATATGATTGCTATCGTGCGAATCTCTAACGAAAACGAACTTGATCCAAGATCAATTCAGTAGGTTGAAAGGTTGTAATTTTGTGGGAATCAGGGACGTCTCCGACTGTGCATTGGAGAGAGGATATCATAAAAACTTGGTGAAATTGCATGGAAAAGGTTTGTTTTGGTTGGGTAAAGCTGGGTGGTTTCAGTGGGATCTGATGTTCAAACGCGACAAAAAGTAGTTGCAGAACTGGAGTGGTGGGAAAATTGGGGAATGTGGCGTGCAGCATCTGAAGAAAACATGAACATTTGTCATCACTTGTCTGCAGGGCTCCTCTGGTGGTTTTTGATTTTGGCAAAAGGTCACGCCGGGCTGCTGCGTTTCGGATGCTTGGGCCTAGCAACACGTTGTGTTTCCGTGTTTCCGTTGCTTGCCTCGGCATTTTTTGGATGGCAACGTTGGATGTGATTCCAAGGGGACTTCAGGAACAGCGTGCCTGTGGAACATTCTTTTCCCAAAGGTTGCAAGAAGGGTATGCTCCAGGTAGTGTAGATAAGCAAACTGCAAGCGGACAATTGTTTTTTTCTGCCTATTTATTCCCTTAAATCAGAGAAATCCGAAGTTCACGTAGGGCACGATCGTGCTGGGTGAGGGACAACCACCATGTGGGGAACTCTTGCGGCAACAACGTCCCATGTTTGAACTATTTTATGCGATATAAACGCGTCCCATTGAATCATTGAGGGTCCGGGTTTCTTTCAAAAAAATGTAGCCAAATTGCTCTCAATTTCACAAAAACTATAGTTCGTGCTAGCTGCAGCCGCTTTTGTTTAGCAAGGAATAAGGACAGGGTAGGCCGATTGAACCCCAGACAATTTCAGCCCTCGCCCTCCCCTCCCACCTCCTTTCCACTCCCTCGGCATCGCGAGTTTTGGAAAAGCGGATGAGCAGAGATTCGCCCTGGTAATCCCCTATTCTTGCCACCCTCGTCCCTTCCTTCGCCCCCTTTTGCTGGAGTGATGTTTGTTGAAGCATCATGATCAGCATATTCATGTCATCACGTCCTTGTGTACAAATATTGTATTTTGCATCGCTTGCTTTTCTTGCAAATTGTATATACAATTTTAATCATATTTTTTTCTTTTGTAGAAATCTATTCTGCCTCAAAAAAATGACGGTTTGTGTTTTAAAGGTTTTTCTAGCTATATTCTTGTCCCTTTTGACATATTTTTTCAGTTGTTCAGTCTCTCAATTTTTGTATTATTTTTATTCGGAAAAATGTTTCGCCTTTTCCCTACAAGATCGGCGACGCTGGCACCAGATCAACAGACACATTGATGCGATTTAATACGGCGATTCGCTCCATTTCAAATTTAACACTTCGGGCATGCAAATTGCACACTCCAACCAGCCAGCTTTCGTGGCGGTGACGAACGCAGAATGTGATATCGATTCTAACCCGTTGATTTATCATGACAGGTAGCGCCAAAGTACTATACCTGAATCGATGTGCGCCAGCGTAAAGGCGGTCCATTGCGACTAGTGGTCATGTTGCGGGACGAAACCACGAATTATTCGAGCCCCAGCTCACACAACGGAAAGTGTGCCAAAGTATGCTGACACTTTGATCCTGGTAAATTTCGTTTTTTCTGATTGTTGCAAACGGTTTTGTACCCAATCACGACTAGCTGGATTGGATGCTCTTTTTGTCTCGTCATTGTTCAAACCTTCCGGGTGAGCATTTTGTATTTTCGCGCTTTCATGCATGGTTCATTCCATTTTCCCGAATATGTTTCCCTCTTTGAACGATAACGAAAACGATAATGAAACGAAAAACATTTTTGACAAAATATCCTTTGCTGATGGATGGCCCAGATGCGACAAGATTCTTGAGATTATTCTTTGCCGGTGAATATTATCACTTGCTTATCGCGATCTTTTCGCTGCTATGCATATATTTTCGCAGCGTTCCATTGCTTTAGTCAATCCTGGCTCATCTCGGGCACAACTGCACCTGCAGGTCCGGTTTGACGATCCTTATTTCGGATGAAGATAGGCGCTGGACCATGTCGATGGTTTGCTACGCAGACGCTGGCGATTGAATGAAAAAAATTGAAAAAAAACAGAAAAAATGAATGGCATGGGGCATGTCGCTGTGAGCTCATCCGGTTTTTTCCAACAAAGTGAATTCAAAGCTTGTTTCCGGGCTGGAGAAAGAATGGTGCAGCTGTGATTTGCAGTGGCGGTGGCAGACATCATACCACACCATCAGTTGAAGCGCTGGAAAAAAAACGCCGGGCAGCCAAAGATGCTGCAGACGCTGAAGTGGAGGTGTAGAAAAGAGGCTTTCCGCATGCAGTTTGCCAGCGGATGCGGGTGATGCAATCAGGATATACCGTGAAATGATAAAGTGAAGTCTTAAAAACGATATCTTGGACCCTAAACCGCATTTTTCAATAGAGGTTTTGCCGGTCGCTCATGTGACTGGCGAGGTCTTTTCCTCGATTCGCCTCACGAACATGTGTAATGCCAAAATACTGCGCAGTACCGGAAATGAATTTTTGTGTCTGCCGACGAGTCACGTGTTGACCCTCACTGGCAAATATGGCAAATATTGCGCGAGTACCTTCATCGCCCTGGTTGTCATTGTCATGATTGGTTTGACAAACTCACTCCTTTTGACAGCCAAAGGCCTTGAATGCATACATCCATCAGTGAGCTTTCCACTGATAAGAACTGATACTACACTTAAAGTGTACATCTCGGTTTGGGAAGCGGACATGAAAATCCTAGTTACCCCACCCACAGCTGATGAGTATTTACTCAACATGCTGTGCGTTTATGCCGAACTTTGCTTTACAAAATTCGATACTTCTCACTTTCGCCAAATGCCGCAGGGCCCACTGAGACCCTTCAAATCTCTGCTATTGGCACTTGCGCATATACTCGGTAGCTCCCCTTAGTTCCGTACCAATGACGTGTGCATTGGATCATGCGGCTTGGACAATTCAGGGTTCATCACTACCACGATTGTGAAACAAATTCTGGTAGCTGTATCTTCTCTGGTGGGCAACGTGTGTGTGCAGAACCTATAGGGCCGAATCTTTGTGACATCCAGTATATCCATGGTCGCGCTCAATCTTCCACATGACAACATAC